AGCCAAGACTACACACAGAAACTCTGTCTTGGAAAAACCAAGGGGGCTAGGGGTGATGAGGGGGAGTAAAACTAAGTTTTACATAGGTTCTTTCGGAAGCCAATGTGGCTGATCCTGTACAATTATTAAAACAAATAAAAAACTTGGCTAGAAAATCTACATTTATTTTGCTTAAAAATACAACTTTAGTCTTAAACTCTAGTACTATTTTACAATGTCCTTTTATTTTTAATATCCTATCAGTTCCATGTCTAGACAAGGTTTCTCTGTGTAACAGCCCTAGCTGTACTCGAACTAACTCTGTAAACCAAGCTGGAACTCACAGAGATCGGCCTGCCTCTGTGTGCCACCACCATCCTGGCGTTCCTTGTCTCTAAGACCAGTATTATTTGTAGAGCAAAACTTCAAACTAAGCCATATACATATAAATTCATATATCACTGCCATCCAAAACAAGAAGAGATAACATTTAAAGAGAATAAGTTTGTTCCAAAATTTGCTATTCCCTGAGTGTCCATTCAGAGTCTTCTCTTGGTTATGATGAGCAACTTTGCCTATCATTTCCCATCATGCAATTCTTTTCATGCAAATAAGCCCATTTCTGTGGTATCTTGTTGCTTGAAATTCTGATTGGCTGCATGATTTTGTGGCTTTAGTTGAGTAAAGAGGAATCCTGGGTTTTCTGCCTAAGGAATGCTTTTTGTACCTTGGTTGAAACTTGGATAGGTACCCTATCTGTGCTTTCCCTCCCTCCCTCCCTCCATCACTCCCTATCTCCTTCTCCCCCGCCCATCTCTCATTTTATTATTTTATGTCTATGAGTGTTTTCCCTGCTTGTACCGGTGGGTACACCACGTGCTTGCCAGGTGTGGGCAGAGTTCAGAAGACAGCGTTGCCTATCCTGGAACTGGAGTACAGGTGGCTGTTAGCATCTGTGTGGGTCCTGGGAACCAAACCCAGATGCTCTGAAAGAACATCAAGTGCTTTTAACTGCTGAGGTATCTTTCCAGCCTCCATCCACACACTGCTTTCTAATACCCTTAGCTCTTCCGCTACGCTTCAGTCTTTCTGTAACCTCTTTGAGTCCACCTGCCATAGCAAAATGACTGCCAGGGTTACACCATCTATTTAAACAAACAAAGGAAATTCCTGTAGCCCTAGGCTCCCTCCAGACTTAACTATGGCTGTGCACTTACTCCAACGACAGGAGGGAGGCAAGTGGAAGTAGTGGTGCTATGCACTGGTTAGTATACACCTAGGAACCATTCTAAGATTGTCTTTTTTTAATTGACCAATGACATTTGACAAAAAGGACAGAAGATAGATATAGCATGTTGGCCCTCTGTGAACCACTTTATTTCACCATGAAAAATGCAGAGTGATTTGCCAAAAGAGGGCGCCAAAACACCATCTTTAGATTCCATCCTTTGGATTGTAACCTTCCTTTTGTTTGTTTTTGTTTGTTTGTTGAGATTCAGTTTCCTAGTGTAGCTCTAGCTGTCCCGGAATTGGCACTGTAGATCAGGCTGACTTTGAACTCAGAGTTCCTGCCTTTGCCTCCTGAGTGCTGGGATCAAAGTCATGTACCACCACACCCGACCCTGAGTTGGGGCCATCATTACACATGACTCAGGGCTATCGAGAGCACATTCCCACCATCCTGGGATCCCTTGATTATTTAATTATATGAGTGCAGGGGTGCTCCTAGGCATGTATGTGAAGGTCAGCAGGCAAATGCAGGTGTCTTTTCTCTTCTAACATATGGAGTCAAGAGACACAATTAAGGCTTAGTAAAAAGCACTTTAACCCAAGAGCAGTCTGCCCTCACTGGCTCTGTGTGATTTGTTAATCTTCTTGCTTGTTTGTTTAATATACAGTTTAGGTATGCATTCCTGGCTGTCCTAGAACTTATTATGTGTAAAAATCTGTCTCCCTTACAACCCAGAAGCTTTTTTTTTTAATACATTGTCTTTCTATGTAGCCCCAGCATTTCCGGAAATCATTAAGTACACCAGGCTGACATGCAAATCAGAGATCTGTCTGTCTCGGCCTCCTCCGTGCTTGGATTAAGGCATGAACACCACACCCAGCCCAGGAGATATTTTTAAAGGACTATCAGTAAACTCAGAAAAACCCCTCCCACCTCTATTGCTGGGATGGGACTAAGCAATCACAGTGAGACCTGCTTTGCCTTTTCAGGTCACTGTCATCAAGAGATGTCATCAAAGTATGGCACCAGTCAGTAACATTTGGCACACATGTTCAGCAGCATTTGGTTCTACTCAGAGCTTCATGATCAACTGAAGCCTCACAGGAGTGTGCAGGTCTGTTGGGGACCATCCTGCAGTCATGCACCAAAGATATCTTCCAGGATGGTATAGAAGGTAAGATACATGGGTATGCTGCTGTAACAACTCAAATTTTCAGAGGCAGGTGAGGTGGCTCAGACGGCAAAGCTGCTGGCCAACCGTCCTGATGGCCTAAGTTCATCATTTACTCAGAAGAAGAGGGTGGTGGATCTGCTGAAATTAGAGTTATGGATGGCTGTCAGCTGCCTGCTAGCTGCCATGTGGGTGATGGACAGGACAGATAGGAGGGAACAGAAACAGGATATTCCATTTCAGTGTTTCAGAGTTATGTCTGAGGAGTCTCCTAGTTACATAAAACAAAAACAAATCCTTTCAAACGTCCATATGTCCTCTGACAAAACATCAATGCATATAAAATTTGATTCCTCTGAGGGGAATCAAATGTGTAACACGAATTGCTAAAGGGCCTTACTAATAAAAAACCCAGAGCCAGATATTGGGGTGAAAGCCGAAAGATCAGAGAAGCAAAGCAAACCACAGCCAACCTCACCTCACCAACTCCTCAGGCAATCTTGTTTTCTCAGTATCTGAGTCCTCACCCGAAAGACTCTCAACTGAACTGCCTTTTTCCTATCTCCTCATGCCTTATATACCTTTTTCTGCCCAGCCATGTCACTTCCTTGGATTAAAGGCATGTGTACTTCCAAGTGTGCGCCACCACTGCCCAGTTCTGTTTCTCTTTTAGACTGGATCAATCTGTGTAACCCAGGGTAGCCTTCAACTCCTTATCTTCCTGCTTCCTCCTCCCAAATGCTGGGCCACAACTGTCTGGCCTCTATGGTTATCTAGCAGCTAGCTCCACCCTCTAATTTTCAGGCAAGCTTTATTTGTTAAAGTACAAACAAAATATCAACACAGGGGGAAGGCTGGAGAGATGGCTCAGTGGTTAAAAGCACTGACTGCTCTTCCAGAGGACCAGGGTTCTACTCCCAGCAACCACATGAGAGCTCAGAGCCGTCTGTGACTCCAGTTCTAGAGGACCCAACACCCATGGCAAAACATCAATGCATATAAAATAAAAATTAAAAAAAAATTTAAGGGGGGGAGAAGAGGAAAGAGGAGAGGGAATGGAAGAGAAGAGAAAGAAAAGACATTAGCTGACCTGGAACTCATCATGTAGATCAGGCTGATCTTGTACTCACAGAAGCATGTCTGGCTTCTGATTGCTGGGACTGAAGAAACATGGCAACACACCTAGCTTGGATTCTTATTCTTTGCGTTATACGATTATCATTACTTGTTGGGATGCTCAAACTGTCCCAGATTTGGCCAATGAGAAGAGAGTATTTTTTGACAAGACCTATCTTTGGATGAAATTTTTGTTATTGTTAGATAGGGTTTCACTATATATTTTAGGCTGTCCTGTATCTATGTAGTAACTCAAGCTTGGTTAGAAATTAGGACCATCCTGTCTCAGCCTTCTAAATGCTAGAACTGGGGCACAATTATGCCCACTCATCATCAAATTTTCTAAGTCCTAGCATTCAATGCATACTGCATAATATTCCACATGAACTTATTATAATCTGGTACAGTTTGGGCATGGAGAAATATTTGTCTTGAGACAATTACTATTGTCTACTTCTCTTATTTCTTTCAGTGATTTTGCTTTGTATATTTTGGTGCTGTGTTGAATACATGGCTACAAATGTTACATTTCCTAAAGTGCTCTTCTACATCTGATAACTTTTTCCACATTTTAAAAAATCTTTGACAGTTTCATATAAGCATGTGATGATTTTTTAATTGTTTTTATCCCTCCTCTGCTGCCATCTTATTTCCTAACCAAGCCTCCTTCTAATTCATGGTGTGCGTGCATGTGTGTGTGTGTGTTGTTGTTGTTGTTGCTGTTATTGTTTGTCCCACTGAGTTTAATTTAGGGTTGCTTATAGAAGCCTGTGGGGGTGTTATTTTGCTAGGCATGGCCAACTTGTGAATACATCTCTGAAAGAATGACACTCCCTCAGATGGGCAGTGGTGGCACACTCCTTTGATCCCAGCCCTGGGGAGGCAGAGATAGGCAAATCTTTGTGAGGTCGAGGCCAGAACCTGGTCTGCAGAGTGAGTTCCTGGATAACCAATGTGGTTACAGAGAAACCCTGTCTCAAAAAATGAAAAAACAAACAAAAAATGACACCCACCCCTGAGCAACCATTAACTGCCAATAGGAGGAACTGTAGCTCATGGGCCCCTCCCCCATCCATGATGAAATGTTGAGGGGCACAAGCTTATGCCATGCTGGTATTATCTAGTAACTTTTGTGTCTTAAATTGGGTGTTGGGTGAGTGTCTTAGTTGTACCATTTTCCCATTATGTTTAAGGTTCCATGTTTGACCCTCCAAAACAAAATAATAAAGTCTAGAGGGCTGGGAATGCAGCTCAGTTATTAGAGTACTTGCTTAGCATGCACAAAGCCATAAATCAATCCCCAGCATTATGTGTAAACAGTGAATGGCAGTGAGTGCCTGTAATTCCAGCATTCAAAAAGCAGAAGCAGGAGAATCAGCAGCTCAAGGTCATCCTCGGCTACATAGTGAGTTTGAGGCCAGCCTAGAAAATGAGACTGAAACTGTCTTAACAGAAGAAAAAGGTTGGGCCAGATGGCTCATCCAGTAAAAAAAATACCTGCCATGCAAGTCTGAAAACCTTAACTTTATTCCTTCAATCCATCTCTACATGTGGACTCATATTCATGCACACAAATACACACACAATAAGTAACTTTAAAAATAGTTTATTTCATCTGACATTAGGATAGCTTTTCTAGTTTCTCTATGGTTGTAGTTTGTATGATATATTCTTTTTAATTATTTTACTTCTACTGTATTTGGGTTTTTTTTTATTATTATTTACTTATTTTGTGTAAAGGGGTGTGAGTGTACAACTATCCTCAGCACCCACCCTCAGTACTGAGGTTAAAGGCATAGACTTTTACACATGTTGGGGATCCGAAGTCAAGCCTTCATGCTTGCACAGCAAGAACTCTACATAGTCATTTCCCAAGCCTGCATACCTGACTTATTGTTTCCTCTAGAAACTTAGTAGCATCTACTTCAATTTATACTAATTCCAATCACCATTTTATTTTCTTATGATGCTGATAATCAACACTGTTCCATGTGGGACAAACCACCGAGCCACTTCTCTTTTGCTTATAGATTTCAGCATTTTTAATTGGCCAGTAAATTAATATACTCCTTCACTAATGTAATATAGAGTTCACTAAGTAATTTAGAAACTTTTTACATTTATTCAAGAGGGGGAGGGCATTGTGCATGCCACAGCACACATGTGGAGGTCAGAAGACAACTTTCAGAAGTTGGTTCTCTCTTACCATGTGGGTTTTAGAGATTAAACTCGGGTCACGATGTTTAAAGGAGAGTGCCTTTACCTACTGAGCCACCTTCCCAGCCCCGGATTCGCTAGTTTAGTTTTGCTTTTTGAGACAGGGTCTGATTATGCAGCTTCTACTGACTTGAACTGGCTGTCACTCAGGCTGGCTTCAAACTTGAGATTCTCAATGCTCCATGTCCCAAGTTTTCAAGAGGTATATGTCACCATCCCCAGATCATTGAGCATTCTGAATGTGTCATAGAAACTACATCATTTGGTAATTTTTAAACTTTACATGAATGCTTTTGCTCTTCTTCTTCCTTGTTTACTCCACTATTCCTATCAGTATGATTGTATTTCTACATTTATCTAAAGCGCTTCCACTTAACTTTTCTATTACATATTTCTCAGCTTTTCAAGTTTAATAATTATTTCTTCAAGATTAAATATGTTAATCCCCTTTTCATTTGTAATAATATAAGATTGAGAATTCAAGTACTTATCCACTTTGAGGCCAGCCTAAGCTACATGAGACCCTGCCTCTTCCCCCAAGCCAAAAAATAAAATAAAATAAAATCCTAGAACTTTGTACTCTACTATGCAAAATTTTATTATTAATGAGGCCTTTATTTTATATTTTTAAAAAAAGCTTAAAATCTGGAATGCAACTTTCCATGTAACACTTCCTGTGGGGAAACGATCCCCTTATTTATTTATTTATTTATTTATTTATTTATTTACTTACTTACTTACTTACTTATTTTTGGCTTTTTGAGACGGGGTCTATCATAGCCCTGGCTATCCTAGAATTCACTATGTACACCAGGTGAGTCTCAAACTCACGATCCACCTACCTCTGCCTCCAGAGTGCTAGAGTAAAAGATAGGTACCACGCCCAGCCTCCCTTGATTTATTAAACTTACAGGGAGTACAAATCTCTATGACAGGACCGATCACACTTGGTATGTTTATTATTCCTCATTCCTCTAATTCTTCTCTTCTCAGCCAAGATCTATGTACCTAACTTGTGAAAGCTTTTGCAGCCTCATTCAATGACTGTTCTCAAATATACTATGTCTGAATTATCATCTAAGGTCTCTGGTACACCAGCCCCTGTGAAAGAATCTAACATTCACTTCATCACTTGGATGTCTGCCTTGTGAGTTTTCCGATGTATACGAAGCCCTGAATTCCAACAAAAGGATTTCCCACATTCAGAGCATTTCCAGGGTTTCTCTCGTGTATGAACTCTCTGATGTTCACTGAGAGAGGACTTCAGAGTGAAAGCTTTCTCACATTCACTACACTTAAATGGTTTCTCTCCAGAATGAATTTTCTGGTGTATCTGAAGGGATGCCTTCCTGGAATAAGCTTTTTCACACTCATTGCATTCATATGGCTTCTCTGTTGAATGAGTTCTCTGGTGTATAATTAACTGTGATTTTCCATAGAAGGCTCGCTCACATAAGCTACATTCATAGGGTTTCTCTCCTGTGTGTGTTCTCCTGTGTATAACAAGATATGACTTGCTGCTGAAAGACCTTCCACACTCATTACAACCATAGGGTTTCTCTCCTGCATGAGCTCGCAAATGAGCAGTGAGCTGCTCCTTCCGACCAAAGGCTTTGCCACACTGAGTGCACTCATAAGGATTTTTTCCAGTGTGAACTCCCTGGTGTACAATGAGTTGTGTTTTTGCATTGAAGGTTTTCCCACAATCAATGCATTGATAAGGTTTCTCCCCTGTGTGCATTCTGGTATGAACAAGGAGGTAGAACTTACTCCTGAATGCCTTCCCACATTCATTGCATTTATGAGGTTTCACTTCTGTGTGAGTTCTCTGATGAACAATAAATGGGGACTTCAAACTAAATGCTTTCCCACATTCATTGCATTCATAAGGTTTTACTCCTGTGTGACTTCTCTGGTGTAAAATAAGCTGAGATTTCCAACTGTAGGCTTTCCCACATTCATTGCAACAATAGGGCTTCTCTCCTGTGTGAACTTCTTGGTGGACAATGAGCTGTGACCTAAAAGAAAAAACTTTTCCACATTCATTACAGAAGTAGGGCTTTTCTCCTGTGTGAACTCTCTGATGAGCATTAAGGTTTGACTTGGCACTGAAGGCTCTTTCACAGTATGTGCATTTGTACGGTCTCTCCCCTGTATGAATTCTGAAATGTACAACAAGCTGTGATTTACAACGAAAAGCTTTTCCACATTCATTACAGATACAGTTTTTTTCTAAGCTACAACATTTTTGATGCTTAAAAAAATATGATTCCTTGTAACTATGAAATTGATCAGGATTCTTTACAGAAATTCTGCTTGAACTCAAGTTTTGTATCACATTTGCTCCACGTGTGTTATACTTATGGAGTCTCTGCCTTGAAGAAACATGGGTTCTGTTCGTAAAAAGTTTTCCAAACCCATTACAAGTATAGTTTCTCTGAACATTTTCATCTTGACTTTTCTGGTACCATTTTTTCCAGCCTTCTAGAAAGAAAAAACAAAACAGTTCTGATTTTTAATTCTGATACAGAATTAAAGAGATTTGAAAAGCATGCAGGGACTGAGGCACATGTAACTAGTAGGTGGGGCTCATTTAGAATACATGAAGTCCTGGATTATACCACCAGTACTACTGGGGGTGGGAGAGATCTTTTCACTTTGGTAAGAGGCCTATGACACTGCTTCAAAGAAAGATGGGCAAAGCATGGGGGTGATAGAGGTAAATAAAACCAAACACAAACAAGGTCCTCCCTCATTACTGGTAGTGAATTGGTCATGATGAAAATCATTTTAAAAAGGGTTTTTAACAAATATACAGGGTTGGGGATTTAGCTCAGTGATAGAGCGCTTGCCTAGCAAGCACAAGGCCCTAGGTTCAGTTCTCAGCTCCAGAAAAGAAAAAACAAAAAATGAATATACTTGCTGGACAGGATGGCACATGCATTTAATCCCAGCACTTGGGAAGCAGGGGCAGGAAGATCTCTGAGTTCTGGACTACCCTTGCTACACAGTGAGAACTTGTCTCAAAAATCAAACTCCCTGCCCCCAAATAAAAGAACTAAAGTAATAAACTTGCTGGGCTGGCAAGATGGCACAATGAGTCAAGGTACTTGTCACCTAGTCCAATAACCCACTTCAATCCCAGGACTCATATAATAGAAGGAAAGAACTGACTTCCACGGCTTGTCCCCTGAATTCTACATATGTACAGTGTCACCCCCCAACCCAAAAGTGATTTTTAAAACATACATACAAATGTTAAATCTGAATTTTACTGCCATAAGATTCTATATAGTTAAAAAGTGAACTACATCATACAGAGTAAGTACAAGACATTTAGATATGGTGACAATGAGACATTAAAAAAGAAGGAACTGAAACTGAGCATGGTGGTGTGTTGAGAAATAATATTTTTGTACACTGTGAAGATGTGTCACTCTAATTGGTTAATAAAAAGCTGAACAGTCAATAGCTAGGCAGGATTTTGGGGGCTGAGAGGACAGTGGGAAGAAGAAAGAGGTCGCCAGTCAGATAGATGAAGAAAGACACAAGGTAGAAAGTAAATTAATAGAAATGGGTTAATTTAAGTTACAAGAGCTAGTTACAACCAAGCCTAAGCTATCAGCCAAGCTTTCATAATTAATAATAAGTCTCCATGTCATTACTGGGGAGCCAATAGTCCTGACGAAAAATCCACCTACAGCAAGCAGTGCATGCCTTTAATCCCAGCACTTGGGAGGCCATGACAGGCAAAGCTCTGAGTTCAAGGAAAGTCTCATCTACAGAGCGAGTTCCAGGGCAGCAGGGCTAACAAAAGAGGGAGAGGGAGGGAGGGAAGGAGGGAGGGAGGGAGGGAGGGAGAGAGGGAGGGAGGGAGAGAAATATGAACTGAGAGGTGGCATATATATAAAATAATAGCACTTAGGAGGTGGTGGCAGGAAGATATAGAATTTGAGCAAAACACACACACACACACACACACACACACACACACACACACACACACACACACCAAACAAAAGAAAAGGAGAAAGAAAAAGAGAATGAATGAACCATGAAGATATGCCAAGCAGAGTTCTCAAGAAGTAGATATGCTTGGTATGGTTTAAGGGGGGAGGGGGAAGGCACAACCCACTGAGTGAGCAGAGTAAAGGCAGGAAACAAGCTACACTAGGCCAGAGCAAAAAGTTTCTGCTTTAAAAGGTATTTGATTAGAGAAGGTCCTAATTAGTTATTGTGCTTTTAAAACATGAGTTTGGTTGCCATGTTAAAAACAGCCGGGTGGTGGTGGTGGTGGTGGTGGTGCATGCCATGCCTTTAATCCCAGCACTCGGGAGGCAGAGCCAGGCGGATCTCTGTGATTCGAGGCCAGCCTGGGCTACCAAGTGAGTTCCAGGGAAGGCGCAAAGCTACACAGATAAACCCTGTCTCGAAAAACCAAATATATATATATATATATATATATATATATATATATATATATATATATATGTGTGTGTGTCTATATATATATATATAAACAGAGCTTGTGGAACAGGCCTGCTATTGCTCCAATATCTGGCTACAAGGAAGACTGAACTAGAATTTGATCTTCAAAGATAGATTAATACAACACTGTCTCAAAATCAAAGGAAAAGAAATAAAATAAATAAAACTAAAAGGAAAGGGGGATGAGGGTGTAGCTCAGTGATAATGTGTTTGCCTAGCACATATGAGGCCCTTTGTTTGATACCCAGCATCACAAAATTAAATAAATAAGAGCAGAAACACATGAGAAGGCCCTTGTAGTAGCCCCGCATGAAACTGTAATTATTAGATTCTACCTCTAGAGTTGAGGGCTCTAGAATGCACTGAAAAAAGAACTGGGTGGGGCTGAGAGTAGAGGGGACCAACAGTTCCAATTACAAAGTACTGCTGCTCTTGGCAAAGAAATACCCTGAAAGAAAATGAAAGATTGTTATGGCTATTACTACATTTTAGAGTACAGTAACATCCAAATGATAACAATAAGTAAACAGTCAGATCTGAGTTCAGTACTCAGTGAAAAGTAGGTCAATAGTCTATGGAAGTATAAAATGACATTATAGATGAGACCATTCAGGAAACAAGACCACAGCTCATCTATGTGACCAAAACATTATTCTTATATGGACAGTAATGAACAGAAACAAGTAATTAATTTAGAACAATCAAGCAAAAGGTTGAGGCATGAGAATATCCCTCTACATTACCAATGCTTTACAAGAATTTTAAGTGTTGGCTTAGCAGCTTTCTTCCCACCGTGTGATTTTTCTCTAAATATGCTCATCCCAATGAGAGAAGAGGGAGTGGTTATGGTTATACTTAAGAGTGAGGCCACCAAACTCAAGAATAAGTTAAAAACAGGAACTACTCAATAATAATAATGAAATAAAAAAATGGCTAGAAGAAATGAATTCTTCTAGGGCATAACATTATGTCTGGCTAAGTTTTTGAGTTACTGGTTTAACATAACTGGTCAGAAACAAAACACAAACACAGACTGGAAATTTGCTAAGTATGAAAGGGAACCTCAAGGCTGGTCTACTAGCCTATGACACTTCAACTCTCAATACTTTAAAATTATAGCAAGCCTAGAGAGACATCTTAGCAGTCTATTCTATCAGAGGACCAGAGTTAAGATCCACCTCAGGAAGCTTAGAGACACCTGAACCTCCAGCTGATGACCTCTGTGGGTGTCTACACACACACACACACACACACACACACACAAACTTAAAAAAAACTTACAGCAATAGGAATAGACTGCTATTGAAACTACTACAGATAGAGACCACAGAATCGTCATTCTCTCAAGTTTATCTCAGCTATGGCTATGAAGCACAAAACAAAGAAAGACTAAAAGTGAAGTGCCAGGACTGGAGATACAGCTCAATTGGTACAGTGCCTACCTAGCATGCACAAGAGCCCTGGATTCAATAAACAACACTGCATAAAGCAAGCATACTTTATGCCTGTAATACCAGCACATGAGAGGATCAGATGTTAAAGGTCACCCTTGGCAGTACAGGGAGTTCCAAACCAGCCTTGGATACAAGAAACCTTGTCTTTAAAATAATAATAATAATAATAATAACAATAGTAATAATAACAATAGTAGTAGTAGTAGTAGTAGTAGTAGTAGTAGTAGTAGTAGTAGTAATCAGAACTAGGGAGATGGCTATGCAGTTAAGAGTACTTGTGCTTATAGAGGACCAATGTTTAGTTCCCAGCAACCACATGGTGGCTCACATTCATCCTTAACTCCATTTTCTGGGGTTCTGATCTCTGCAGGCACCAGGCACATGCACACATACATGCAGGCAAAACATTCACATTCACACTCACACACACACACAACACACACACACACAATCTAAATAAAAATTGTTTTGACAGAATGAAAAATCAAAGTGCTGGGCCTGAAGCAGTGACACTAACAAAGGAAACTGTTATCAATATCAATGAAGAGAAAGCTCCTCATGTTTTTTCTAAAGGGGAGTATATCTGACCAAAGATAATTGTTATCTTCTTCCTTTCTGTGAGAAATTTCTCTTACAACTTTCTAGTTCTAGTTTCATAGATGTACACTGAATCACACACCTATAATTCCAGTGCTCTAGAAGCAGAGGTAGGAGTATCTCAGCATGGTCTACATAGGAAGCTCTAGGCCAGCAAGGGCTACATAGTTAGACCCTGTCTTAAAAGGAAAAAAAAAAAATTCTAGCTCCTTTTAAAATCCTAGGTATGCCTAGAACAGACATCTTATACTTTAACTATACTCACTCAGATGATGAGAGTTTCACCCATACCTATCAGATGGAACCACAAATATCCTAAGAGATCCTGGACTTGAAACTGAATTATGGCCCCAAATATGTACTGACTGAAAGGATCTACAGATTCAACGTAATCCCCATCAAAATCCCAACACAATTCTTCACAGACTTGGAAAGAAAAATACTCAACTTCATATGGAAAAACAAAAGACCCAGGATAGCTAAAAGAATCCTATACGATAAAGCAACCCTTGGAGGCATCACCATCCCTGACCTCAAACTCTACTATAGAGCTATAGTAATAAAAACAGCTTGGTACTGGTATAAAAACCGACATACAGACCAATGGAATTGAATTGAAGACCCTGACATTAATCCATGCACATATGAACACCTGGTTTTTGGCAAAGGAACCAAAACTATACAATGGAAAAAAGAAAGTATCTTCAACAAATGGTGCTGGCATAACTGGATGTCAATATGTAAAAGATTACAAATAGATCCATATCTGTCACCATGCACAAAACTCAAGTCCAAGTAGATCAAGGACCTCAACATAAATCCAGTTACACTAAACTTAATGGAAAAGAAAGTAGGAAGTACTCTTGAACGCATTGGCACCGGAGACCATTTCCTAAATAGAGGTCCCTAGGACGACTATGGCTTATAATAAATTTTGGTTTTACTCAATTACTGAGCAAGCCTCAATGAAACATCTCACTATTAAGATAAGAATACATCCTGTATCAAGCTGATAATAGAAAAATAAATTAATTAATTAATTTTAAACAATAAATAATAAGAATAGAAAAATTTGAAATATTAAACAAACAAACATTTTACTAAAGTAAAAAAAAAGGGAGAACTAGGGACTCATCATTCCTCTCCACAATCTATTCTTTCCCTTGTTTTATATATTTTAAATTTTTTATCGGTGGATTCTACTGGAGTATCTGATGCAAATAAGCACTGGAGGGCTCCTGTTGCAAATCACCCTTTTGAGCAATGGAAGGATCTTTCTACTAGCACATGAAGGAGACCCGATCTAGTGTTGGTGTAGCTCCAGGGTTCTGTTTATGTCTTTCCTCAGGACAATGGGGTTCCTCTTTGGATTCCTGAGCACAGAACGTGCCCTGTGGCTGCTACTGAAGCCCAACATGACAGAGACCTAATGGGTCTTCATGAAAAAAATCTACCCTTCTGATGCCAATGGAGATTGAAAGCCCAATATCGCCAGCTTTGGCAAGCATTAATGTAAGCCTAGGAACTGTAGCCATGAGATTGGATTCTCCAGAAGAGCTGCCAGTTAAAGTCATGCTGGGATCAGGAAAATGGGCCTTGGCGGTTCATGTTACTGGAGTTGTATCCATGCCAGTGGACGTCCACACACTCCAGAAGAGAATTTGACATTGTTGCTGCCGCTCTTGCTGTTATAGCAATGGTGGCCACTGCTGCTACTGTTTTTGGTATTACCATTTCATAAATGCTTACTACAGCTAGCACAGCGGAGACCCTGGCAACAAAAGTAGCTACCACAGTTAGTTAATCTTCCATTCTATTGGGCATAATAAATTTAATTCAGTAGTTATATACATCTCGATTGGCTTTGAAAATTATAAAATTATGAACTCAAGTTCCAGTTGCTTTTGGGATACTATCTTACAAGGACTCCAACGTACAGTATGGCTCATTAAGGAAGGGAATGGCTCAGTTGCCTTTAGCCTACTGGCTATGGGTGAGATAGGACCGCTGTTGGTCTTTTCTGTGTCAGACACACAGATTGCAAGCCCAGTGTCACTTTGAGATCTTTGGCAGCAGTTAACTCTGCAGCTCACACATGATTGAGCCTGTATGATAATGAGTATTCAGAGACGGGTAATTCCTGGGGGGCACTCACCAATCTAAGACAGAGCACCTGTGTGGTTTGGGCAGGCGTCTCCATGACGGGTAAGGTGACCTGCTGATGTCCCACGCAACCCAAGTCAGAAGCTCATTTTTTAGTAAAAGGGGACCTGTAGAGCCCTGGCCCCTGGCCCCCATTTTTGGTAACTGTTGCCTTGCTTGCGGACCTTGACCTTGACATCCTCCCTATGCTAATTCCCTGCCAGGTTCCACCCTCCTGAATGCTTAAGGGAAGTTCCTTGTCTGTGTATCCTGAATAATGGGTGTTAACAGCTTAGATGCAAGATTGTAAAACATCAGTAGCGAACTTCTGTCCTCTGGGGTTCTCCCACTGTGCTGTAAGCCTGTATTTAAGACCTCCTCCCTCCTTCAATAAATGACATTCGGCGTTAAAAATTTATATATATTTGAATGAATACTTCGAATGTAATCTATGAATACCACAAATGTGATTAATATCATGAGTGTAGTTAATGAATATCATGAGTGTAATTTAAAAAATTTAAAAAAAGGGAAGAAAAGGGGCATAAGTCACATTAAGAAAGAGGAAGAAATTCTCAAGGCCAACTGCCCATTGAAAGGAAAGAAACTAACACAGAAGGCAGACTCTGGACAGATAAGAGGTACACATCCACCTCTCAGAGCTGAAGGGGGAAGGAGAACCCAACATTTGAGGTGACAATTAAGTGCCTGACTTGAGAAACCTATAATCTCATCCCAAGTCAGCTGCATCAGTTGAGGACTTCTAGGAGTTTCTAGGTACACGACCATCCCAGTGTCAAGTACCTAAGGAACAGCAATTTACCTCCATACATACTATCTTCCTGGTTCTCAGTCACCTACCTGGACAGCTCTGGGTGGACATTTTGGCATTTATTACCCACGGTTCTTTTCCTTGCTCCAACTTGAAGATTAACTCAGGTTTGGTATCAAGATACCCTGTTAACGAAATAATCAAAAAGGATTCAGACCAAACTGCTAAGGGTAAATCACAAAACAAAACTGCTTATTTGCACTTGGGAATAACAATTAAAAAAAAAGAAGAAGACCAAATATTCACCAAAGAACATTTACCTATAAAGTTAAATTCACAATCATCAATCACTTCATAGGTCTCAAGTTAGATAACAAACGAAAAAGAAATGGAGGCTATGACTTCCAGGTGAGTTGACAGAGGTGCTGGACTCACCCACGGAGAGCAGGTTGCTGTAGTTCTCCAGAGTCACTTCTCTATACATCTGCTGCTGTGCAGGGTCCAGTAGCTGCCACTCTTCACTTGATAGCTCCACAGACACATCCTTGAATGACAGTAGCCCCTGTAAGAATTCACACACTGTTTAACTAGATGTACTCACAGCAGGTAGCATGTGAAGAATGCAGAAAACTCAAAAAGAAAAACTATTCCTCTCCAGATGGTCTGTTGTGCCTGGTTCATCATCTACTTTTTAAAAGAGTTGAAAACTGGGTCTGAAACGATGGCTCAATGTTTGAGAACATTTGCTGCTCAATCCTAAGGATTGAAGTTTAGATCCTAGTAACCAAACAGCAGGTGATGCATCCCCAAATGTCTATTAACTCCAGCTCTGAGGGATCCAATACCCTCTTCTTGCCTCTGTGAACACAAGGCACACACATGGCACATAGACATATATACAAGCAAAACATCTATATACATAAAATAAAAGTTAAAAAAAAAATCAACCACCCAATCACAAAAGTACCAGGCACTCTTTGGGTTTCTGTGGATCTTAGGATGAGTACAAGACAACTGTCACTAGGAAGTTTTCAGTCTTGTAGAGGGAAACAACCATGTAAACAAATATACAAAAGCAGACCCAGGGTATATGTTGTACAGAATGGATAGAACCATCCTCAGTAAGCACCCAGACTCAGCTCCACAAAGTCATCTAAACAGTTCACCCAAAGTAATGGGATGGAAAGAGAATTCAGGAGGTGATAAGGATGAGATTCACCTGGGAAAATGAGGGGAAGCAACAGTGAAAAACGAAGAGTTCAGCCTCCTCCTTCAGGAGTCTGAAGGCACTGGAGCAGGACAGAAAACAGCTTTCTGTCTTCTGCTCTATCCTGTGTGGCTCCCATGCCCTGGTAATCCAAGTCTAAGAGAACAGTAATCATCATATATTGGGAACAGGTGCTGGCAGGGAACAACAGAGAGATTCAGAAATGTCTATTTCTTTTAGGCCGAGTCCAATTATGGAAGAAAAAAATGTATAGAGGATAACCTGTACTCACTATAAAGATACAGTAAACACCACTTAGATATACAGAGCAGAAGGGCTGGAGAGATGGCTCATCAGTTAAGAGCACTGACTGCTCTTCCAGAGGTCCTGAGTTCAAGTCCCAGCAACCACATCGTGGCTCACAACCATCTATAGTGGGATCTGATGCCCTCTTCCACCATAAAAAGGTGAACATGCAACACACATATACATAAAATAAGTAAAATTAAAAAAAAATACAAAGCAGAAGCTGGGCGGTGGTGGCACACCTTTAATCCCAGCACTCGGGAGGCAGAGGCAGGCGGAGCTCTGTGAGTTCGATGCCAGCCTGGTCTACAGAGTGAGTTCCAGGACAGCCAGGACTGTTTTACAGAGAAACCCTGTCTTGAAAAACCAAAAAAAAAAAAAAAAAAAAAAAAGTACAGAGCAAAATCTGGTATTCAGGGACTGTGGCATCTCAGAAACAGAGAGGAAGGCTCTTATGATAAATAGGAAAGAAAGGGAATAGGGGGATGGGAAAAATAAATTAAGTAAACTCTAAGTAATGAACACTAATAATCAGAACTTACACATGATAATTATGGTTTTTATACCAGTTTAACTGGTATAAACTAAATGCATTTCATATGCAACCCATTTTACATGAATGTCACTAACATAGAGGAACCCCTGGGCTTTGGCACTGCCACCCAGTTCCCCATTCCTGGATCACCAACACTTGCCAACTCCATAGAGAACCAGCGAATACTCTCCTATCTGGCTGGTTACTACTGCCAACGACAAAAATCCAGAATAACCGAAGAGACAAACCTCTGGGCCTACCTGTGAGGAATTATCTCAATTAGGTTGAGATAGAAAGACCCCCTTCACTGTGGATGGAACCATAAGGCTAGAGTCCTGGACTCAATAAAAAGGGGAAATTAGTTGAGCTTTTTGAACACAAATGCAATGTATGACCAGCTGCCTCAAGTTCTCGCCATCATGGAAGGCACCATGATGGACCACATCCCCAAATTGTGAGCCAAAATAGTCTCTTCCTTTCTTAAGTTTCTTCCTGACGGGTGTTTTCTCACAGCAACGACTGAAGGAATTACTACACTGGCATTCCACAATACATAACTTCAAAAATCAAACACTGACAGATTATAAGACTTGATCCCTTTGGGTAGCTAGGTGCATGCATGCGCTCTACCTCACCTCCCTAGCTTCTTCCAGGAGGTAACTGAAACAGTTCAAGACCAAGAGGGAGCCAAGCCAGAGCAGTAGCAGTAATAAGATTATCATAGACCTTACAAGGTTAGTGCATAAGGCGGGGGTGGGGAGTCACTTTGATTTAGCATAGTGTAAATAATAATCAATCACTTCATCTGGTGCCCATCACGGAAGCAGCAATCTATTCTAATCCTGATAAAGTGACTATGAAAAGATTAGAAACCTGTTAAGAGGTTAGATAGCTTGCCCGGCATGGCGGTACATACCTTTAGTCCCAGCACTTGGAAGGCTGAGGCAGGCAAATCTCCGTGAGTTCATCTATATAGAAAGTTCCAGGTCAACTCAAATATATAAAAGGAATGTGAAGCCAGGCATGGTGATGCACACCTTTAATTCCAGCACTCGGAAGGCAGAGGCAGGTGGAGCTCTGTGAGTTTGAGGCCAGCCATAGCGTCCCATGCCAGCCAGAGCTGTATGGTGTGACCCTGTCTCAAAAAATAATCATAAAATTTATCATAAAATTTACAAGACCCGCTTCAGGGCTCGGCACACAAAAGACATTAAATGAATATGCATTTTCAAAACACGTGAAAAGGGGGCGGGGGAGGTGATTTACTCGATGAGGTCCTAAGAACTGCATAAAGTCCAACGCAGGACGACTTCATTTGCAAGAATTACCTTAAGACCACCTGCACTTGGTAACAGAGTCCAAGTAAATGGAGGTGCCTTTCTGAAGGCCCAGAACCTGGAGAGCGCCCAGGCCTAGATATGACTTAAGCAGTGAAGAGGACCACCGACTGAGTCCAGGCAGCTTTTTTAAAGCGAACCTACTTACCCAGAAGGAAGCCAACCGCGCTTCTGTGGCCATAGGTGGGAGGCACGGCCTCCGGGCTCGAATCAACAGAACAGAGTGCCAGTCTCTCAGTATTCCTGAAGAGTAAGGTCGGTGGACAGCCAGGCTCCGACCAAGCCGGCCGCACTGCGCCGGGATTCAGCTACCTAGCGGGATGGCCGCGGACTCCAGAGCCAGCCGGCCACCGTTAGCTCCCCGGTCCGGATGCCTGCAGAAGCGGTCCAGCAACCGTGCTGCGCGGAAGGGCAGGCGGAGGGGAGAGAGGCGCACAAAGAAGCGCGTCATTCTTCCCCTGCACACGCGCCTGAAAAGAAGCTCATATCACGGAACGTGCTGCGGAGGGGCTAGTTCACAGAGGCTGCCCAAGAGCCAACGTGTTTCCGCGCTCACGCCTTTAAGTCCCAGCACTCAGGAGACATAAACGGGAGGAATTCTGTGAGTTCGAGGTCAGCCAGGACTACATACAGAGACCCTGTCTCAAAAATACCAAAACAAAAACAAATCCGACGCTGGAGTCGCCTCTCAGACCGGTAGAGACTGGCGGCTACACTGAGCACAGACGTGATAAAAGACACAGTTCAAGATGGCTCAGCGGTTAAGAACACTGGCTGCTCCTCCTAAGGATCTGGGTTTAGTTCCCTACACCCACAGGTCTGCTCACAACGTCTGTAACTCCAGTCCCAGGGAAGCCGAAGCAGACATAAATGCATTCAAAAACACCATAGATTGGAGGTTGGAGGGAAGCACAGGACGCTTTGTGATTCACTAGGTTACATGGTTGCATCAGTGCACCAAATAACAACAGTAGCTTGCTTCATTAAAGGAAAAACTAGTGTGTATGTGAAGAAAAACAAAAACACACGGAAAGGTGAACTCTCTCCAAAATGAATCTTAAGTATGCAGGTAATGCAAAGGAGCACAATTTAAGAAGGTTTCCTGTTTTAAAACGTTTTCGTCCTACCTCTTAACTACTCAACGAAATGTAGATGTACCAAGGAAAGCAAAGCTTCTGAGAATTTCTGTAGAAACATTGTTCTCAAAGTGATCTGGGGAGAATGTAATTCCCTCTTGCTTAAACAACAAACGTTTATCACAGTTATGAAGGCAGAAATCCAAGATTAAAGAAATTGTTAGCATATTTGGTTCCTAATGAATATTAGAAATGCTGACAGCAGTGTTGAAATGTCTAATTTGGGTATAGAAACCAAGAGCATTAAACCTTTTTAACCACCGAGTCTTATCTCTAGCCCTACAATTGTGTGTGTGGGGGGGGGGGGGGGCGCGTGCGCAGTGTGCCTGTGGATTAAATTGAGGTTATTAGACTTTGCTGCAAACTTTAACCTTGACTCTCTGCTCTCTTGTTCTCCCTTCCCTCCCTTTCCCTTCTCCCTCCCCTCCTCCATTTCTCCTCCTTCTCTTTGTCCCTTCCCCCTCTTCCTCTCTTCTTTCTCTTCCCTCTCTTCTTGTCCTACCTGCTCTCTATTTTTTTTCCCAGTTTCAGGAAGCTAGTCATCTGATGCTTTCTGCGATTCTGTGACCTACATTGGGATTGTATTCAAGAACCAGAGTGTGAGCCAGGGAGTCCACCATTGCTTGGTAGATGGGTCACCAAGGACAGAAACAATCACACAAACATGGTGCCTGTCATTACTGGGCAGACACAATCACTCCCAGGCTTCTGCCACCACTGCAACTGCCAGAACTGCTCTCAAAATCTAGGACTCAAAACTTGGAAACTGGCCAGGTTGCACAGGAACTTGGTGCTAGTGATCAGAAATGGGGCAAGCTACGAGGATAGCCATGGCTTATGCAACCCACTGCTCTCTGCTTTTTCTTGGCTTTTACCACTGATGGGAATTCCAGCCATGTCCCCATGATCACATACCGGCCCCCCCGGGGGGGGGGGTGAGGGCACTTAGTCATTTCCACCCAGTCATTTCCAGGTCCTACATAACCCATGTGCTGTGTAGTCATGTAAATCACGAGCAGCGTGACCACGTGATCTATGCGCATTCATGGAGCAGCCACGTGGGCCTGTGTACACATACGCAGGATGGTCCTTAAAAAGTGGGCCCCATGTCCTACCCCCTTCTTCCCTCACATGTCCTTCAGCAGGCCTGATCACATCTATCGCTTCTCCCTTCTTTAATAAAACTCTTGTTAGTGGATGCTGTTGTGTTTCATGACTTTTCCTCACAGGGTAAGAGTGCCTGTCCTTCAGCAGGCCTGATCACATCTATTGCTTCTCCCTTCTTTAATAAAACTCTTGTTAGTGGATGCTGTTGTGTTTCATGACTTTTCCTCACAGGGTAAGAGTGCCGCTAAAAACCATCAACCACAAATCCTAAATTCAGGGTGGGTAAGATGGCTCATCAAATAAAGGACACTTGCTAAGAAGCCTAATGATCTGAATCATCTATCTCTGGGTACATGATGGAAGGAGAGATTCAACTCCCACAAGTTGTCCTCTGATCTCTACATGTGTGCAGTAGCACATGCATGCATACACATACACACACACACACACACACACACACACACGAATAAATAGTGTATTTTTTAAATCTTATATACAGTTACCACCAGGACCTTGAAAAGAGCATCTTGGAGAAGTCCAGACCTGTACTTGTGGTGTATGTCCCTACTCTAAACTCTCCAGCCCATTGACTCTTCCCTATATAATCCAGCCATTTGGCTATGCTGGTCCTTCTTACCCTTTTTCCCTTTGGCACTCTGATCTCCAGGCAAGCTTTATTTGTTAGAGCACAAGCAAAACATCACCACAGCCGGGCGGTGGTGGTGCACGCCTTTAATCCCAGCCCTCAGGAGGCAGAGCCAGGCGGATCTCTGTGAGTTCGAGGCCAGCCTGGACTACCAAGTGAGTCCCAGGAAAGGCGCAAAGCTACACAGAGAAACCCTGTCTCGAAAAACCAAAAAAAAAAAAAAAAAAAATCATCACCACAGGACACTGTGTGCAGAACTACCAACTTGCCAGGCTGTGCACACTGGTGAAATAGTGGGAAGTCTGTCACAGGAATAACAACTTCTTCAGTGGTCTCTTTACGGGGTCACAATCTGGGCATAACAATTAGCATTTGTCTTCTATGTGTTCTTCCATTTTTTCACGATTGTGTATTTTTTTCTGCTTTTTCATGTCTTTTGGTAAAAACAATTTAATATGCTTTTGTTTTCTTAATGTGGATGAATCATGTTTTGCTTTTATTACACTTTAACTTGTTGGTATCTGCTTTTATAATTAGTTTTGTTGTTGTTGTTGTTGTTGTCTGCTTTTTTCCGTCTTAAGACATGTCTCCTATCTTCCAAGCTGGCCTTGAGCTCACTGTTGAGAATGATCTTGAGCTCTGATCTTCCTGCCTTCCTATTTCCAGTGTTAGGATTACAGGCTTAGGTCAATTTGTGCGGTGCTAGGAATTGAAGCCAGGGTTTCCGTCATGATGGACAATCACTCTACCAACTGAGCTAAATCTTCGGCTCTAATTCAGTAATTTTCTTCTTTCCAGAGCTGTATTTTATTTTCCCTTAAATTCTCGTTTCGTTTATTTCCGTTCTTTTTGTTCAGTGCTACTGGACTATGAATATTCAAACACAGGATCGATAACAGACTACGGAACAGAAATAAAGCCAATGCCTCCCTGCACGGACATAAATTGGTCCGTGTTGAGAGGTTTCTTGGAATGAAGCCCACCCTTCAGTCCGGGCACATTTGCTCCAGTGGAACTCTGGGAAATGTAGTCCTGTATAGACACTTCCACTGTTGGATCACGTCCACCCTGAGGCTGTCAGGTTCACCATCGTGGTCGTTGGCGACCCCAGAGCTTTCAGGCACTGGTCGGAGGCAGCGCGGAGCCTTAGACAGGCTCACAGCACATGCGCAGGATGGGAGGTCCGACTGCGGCTCTTGTCTTGGCTCGAGTTGAGGCGAGACGGACCCTGGGCGTTCTGAGGGGTAGAAGACACCGGCTTCAGTGTACTGTTCTATAAGGAGCTTGGGGGCGTTGGCGGGATGGGCAGAGGAGGAGTCTTGACTGATGCTGCAACCCTGTCGGGGTGTGACTTCGGAGGACGTTTAATTTGGGGACGTTTGAGGATTAGATGGTGGAGCATTTGAGCATCAACCATTTGAGCCTGAGAGTAGGTTTAGTTGCGAGGTCCATGAATTCCCCAGACAAGTCATTTGTGGAATTGCTTTGTAGGTTTGTATGCCAGTGAGTCCTGGGAGGCAGGTATGTGTGATCTTTCTGTCAGTGAACCGCAACTCTAATAATGATCAGTCATTTGGGTGCCAGTGAGTATGGTGTTGTTCTGGAGTTGATTTGCAAGTTGTGTTGTGGATTTCATTAACTGGAAAGCATGTTGTGAGGACATTAGAATCTTGTCTTCCTGAGAAACAGCAGAGGTTAAAAATGTTGTGCCCAGAGTCCCCCAAAGACCACCAAGAGACCGAATCCAATGCAAAAGCAAAGAGTCTTTTTTTCTGCCCCCTGGAACTCACTCTGAATTACAGGCTGGCCTCGAACTCATAGGGATCTGCCTGCCTCTGCTTCCTGAGTGCTCTGCTTGTAAAAAGACATTTTACTATGACTTTTTTTTTTTTTTACGATGATGCAGCAGCAGAGCAGGAGAGATTCCGAGTAGCAATGGGACAGGTTTTTTGTTTTTGTTTTTGTTTTTCCATTCCTCACAGCACATTTATTTCAGTAATTCCATTATGTCGGTCCTTAGCATGGGCATGGTGTTACACAATTTTCATACATATAATCACATCCAAAACAAGCTCTAAGATTGAAATTGTAAAAAACAGTGGTTAGATGCCATGAAGTAGGTGGCAATGCCTTAACCGTATGTGTGTTGTTAGGCCCAAGGGCCTCTTCCATCCTTGTCAAGGGGAGCGCTAACCTTCTCTCCTTTCATACAACACGGGGCAGGGTTTTTAAAGCAAGGGGGGCTTGGGGATCTACAGACTACATAGAAACAGACTCAGGGTAGGTTTGTGTGAGTGGCAATCATGTTAGTAACTTTTAATTGGCTAGGGTTAGTTGGGGGTTACAGTTATCCATTTTGGGAAGGCCTGGACAAGTCCCAGGCTCTGTCCTTG